TGAAATTCATATGCACAAGTACATCTATATTACTAGAATGGATAAACATGTGAATCTGCAAAAGAATTTCATACTATTTTATTTCTGCAAAGCTTTATAAGTAGTTATTGATTACAAACCAGAAAAGAGAGAGAAGTAGAAAAAGGAAACAAAGAAAGAGGTAAATCCTTTGTTATTGATGGGGTTACAGTCATTGCAAGCAGGTTGCCATCATCTCCTGAAGCTGCATCTCTGCTCGGAATCTAGTGATGAACTCTTCAGCTCTCTGATCTATTCTATACATTTGAGGTGATGTCAGTGCTAGTGATTCCCACATATCATCTCCTGCAGTATTACAAGGTTCCTCTCCTTCAATCTTAGTATCCCCTGCAGACGGCAGTTTAGGTGGATGAACCACTTTCACTCTGTTTTCACTAATTGGCACTTGTATTTGCTCTACAAATTCAATCACAGGCTCCTTAAATAGCATGTCAATATATACAGGCGCTGTTTTCTTTTTGAAGTACTTATTCTTGCTAAGACTCCTCTTGTTCCGCCGGAGACCTGGCTTAAGGGCCTTTGCACAAGTATAAGCAAAGGGAAGCCGCCGGCTTCTGGGTTTCTTGATAACTTTAGACTTCTTTGAGTTTGATTTGCAGAGTTTGATTTTGAGTTTTGAGGTGAAGCTCTTCCATGTCTTCTTGGCCGGTGAAAGCTTAAGATTCAAGCAAGACATGGTTTTTGTGTGACAGAAGAAGAATAGAAGAGAGGTTGAGGTTCACATATGATTGCTTACTCATATTGTGTGCTGCATCATCTACTAGGCTTACTTCTTACGCGAACTATTTGACGTAAAGAAAAGTAAAAAATGGTATCTGTGGAGAAAGGTAAGGATTAATCAGCTTAATTCCTACGCCAATTGTTGGAGAATCCGAAAGGATATTGGTTGAAATTTATTGACCGTAAATGGCAAGTCTATTTATTTATCAAACAAAAAACCCATTTTGATTAGGCAAATGGGTTTTAGTTTTCAATTAATTTAACAAAGTCCATTAATTAATTGATTAAGCAAATAGCAATTCTATTAATCAATAATCACTTTGATTTCTACAGGAGATTTCTACAGGAGATTCAGATATAGCAAACGATTAGTTATCAATTGCAATCCCGATTAACAATAAACAATCGTTGGGCTAGGTTAGCTGCAGCCTCCTCGGACACCAGAGATTCTATTACCATTGTTTTCACTTGCCATGGAGAGTATGGAAATCCCTGTCTAGCATACGAGTTCAGCAGCGCCGCACTTGCCTGCTTCACCAACCTACCAAACGCGTTGTCCTCCTCGTTCCTCGCCGTCGATTCTAACAATGTTAGATCCAACCTGTACCGGTCGCTCACTCCCGAGCCGAACACTTTCCTCACTGTCGACGTTTGTGGAACCATCCTCGGCCATTCCTCTACCCTGTTGCTCCAGTACCTGCAATCATCAAATCACCGACTCAACTCGCATTTATAGATATATACACATGCTATACATTTTGAGAGAGAGGGAGAGAGGAGAGAAAACTTACCGGGGAGTGCACGTTCCTCTGGTTCTTGTGTAGTACAAGCCAGACCTGGCCGCTGCTGTTTCGATGGATAGAAGGAGGAGGATGAAGAGAGCGATGGGAGCTGAAGTCTCCATGGATAAGCGAACTCAGATACTCATTCCTGACTCTTTGTATGGTTGGCGTTTGGGATCTGAGTTTCCTTGAGATATCAGTTTCACTACTGCTACTACCACCTGCTCTATCTGATAGTTTTGGCTCTGTTTTCAATGAAAACATTTTATATTTCCTTATAAAATTTGTTAAGACAGTTTTACCCTCCTCTAGCCGTTAAACTTTTCAATTTTAAACAATAACTAATATATTAAAATAAGATATGCACAAGACCCAACCTATAAACTGGTAAAAACTAGAGACTTCCATTTCATTACTCATTAAGTTACAGCGGTTAAAAGTTACTTGTTAAAATTCTACAGCATCCTGGCCCCCTTCCCAACATATTACCACACACCAGAACCAAAACAAACAGAAAAAAAAAAAAAAAAAAAAAAAAGAAAAAGACCAGTAAATTTTCTTTTAGTCATATATTTCGTGAATTAAGCTTCGGCTGTACCCTGGGCGGAAGGATTTGCAGCGGCCAACATGGTCTCTTGGCGGTTGTACTTGATCTCCCTGGCCTCCTCTAACGACACTCTGAACCCATTAGCCACCAACCCAACTGGAAGACCCGCCATGGCTGACAACCGACCAGTCAACATGTTGACGACAGCGTTGTCGTTAGTCCTGAAAGCAATGTACTCGCATCCCTCTGACTCCGACCGTTTGATCACCGCAAACCCTTGCGGCACCAACAACAGCTGTCCCTGTCGGACCTCGCCCTTGAATGCTGCTTCACCGTTGCTCTTCACCACTTCCACCCACAATCTCCCCCCAGTCACGTACATCAACGAGTGTGCGTTCATGTTCCAGTGAGGTAACACCATTGCATTCTGCATTTACATACACCATCACATATATATTCTCTGACTTCGCCAACTTTTATGAACAACGTTAAGAAAAGTAAATACCCTGTGGAGGAAAACTCTGGCGGCGCCGAGTCTGAGACGGCGGAGGATAGGGAGGTTGAGGCTGTTAAGAGTGCTAATGCGACCAGCTTCTGGGTCGTAAATATCGGCACGTGAGGGGTCGTCAAGGTTCTCCTGTAGCCTCTGTGTGCACACAGTCTCCTCCAACCCGTTGTACTCTTCCTCATCATACTCTCCCCATGGGCCGGGATATTGTTCTCTCTGCTCTGTAGTAGTACCCCTTGTTGGAGGCCTGACGAATTGAAGCTTTTGTGGAATGTTAACGATGTTTCCTCTGCTGTCGTCCAGGTTCTTGAGCTTCTCTGCAGTTTCCATCCTGATGTTGAAGGACTGAGCCAAGATTTCAGTCTCGAAGCCTGCAAAGAGGCTTCTCTCTGGCAACTGCGGATTACTGCCGGCTAGATGGAACGTCTATACGCATGAAAACATGTTCACAATAAAAATGAGAATTTAACTTGAAATCATAACTTGTTATAGAGTAAGGAAAACACTAACTATTTGGTTGAGGAGTGGCTGAAAAAGTACCCATGATTATTAGATGTAAGAACGTGAAAGTCGTATGATTAATTAGTATCTTACTCTCAGAATCCTGTCGAGCTGGTTACCATAGTTGCTGACATCAACGAGCGCGACGAATACGAGAGGTGAATTGCCGTCGTTGTGGTACCAGTGGGCCGTGCCGGCTGTGAAAACTAGGACATCACCCTTGCGCATTTGTCGAACCTTCTGGTGCATGTCTTTCAACCTAAGGTCTTGTTGTTCCTGTCCGAATTCTTGTGATTCTTGGTACGTCTCAGGACATCCCGATGTTACAGCTCCCGTTACACCCTGACCTGCACAATTAGTTCACACACGTACACACATATTATATATACGAAAGTAGTTTATAATTGCTACATCCACTGGATAGCAAAAGGATAAAAAAAGAGGGAGTAAGTTTGACCTTGGACGACAAAAGCCATGATGGGTCCATTACTGTAGGTTGGCAAGTAAAGACCGTTCTGCCTAATGGTGACTCGGAGCATGGCGACACCAGCGCACTGGAGCTGAGGGTCTCTGGGGTCCCAGTACTCGATTAAACCAGCTTCAGACTGGACGCGGTTAGTGGGCTCGATGGCATTCAGCTGGTCGAGTCTGCACTCGTCTGGGGCCTGGACAGAAACATGGTGTGCTAGGCAGGCACTGAAGAGCGCGAGAACCGCAAGAGAAAGAGAGATGAGCAGAGAAGGGTTAGCCATTTTTGTTGTGTGGTTCGTTGAGGTGCTGATGGATGAAGGAAGAAGGGAGTTGTTACTTATAGGTGGAGAAGGGGAATCGAGAGAATGACACATAAGGGATCACGGTGGCAAGGTCTTCTCCGCCTCTGCATGCATGGCTTCTTAAACATGAGTTCCTTACACCTCATAAAGCCAGGTAGGGCAGGTGTGAGCACGCCCGCTAGCTTCACATATGTAGCAGATTTAGTACGTCTACACAGACGCACACACACATATATATGTGTATATAATATCCGCTGCAGCATAAGCACGGACAGCGATACAAGAGACGTTCACAATTAAATATAGAATTTAAATAAATATTATGTGATCTTAATCATAAATTGCAGCCTAATATATTTTTAATTAGTTAAAAGATAATAAATGTATTATCAAATTAAATTAACTGGTAAAGACGCGTAGTATAAACTGATCATAATACGGGTAACCAGTTAAAATATGGTGATAATGCGTTACACAATTGTACTAAATTTAATTGAAGTTAATGTTTAGAGTACAAAATGAATGTAAACTTAAATTATAAAAACTTATATCGATACAGAAAAGTATAGAAATTACTGGCTTTATTATAAATAGGTGTCGAACTGGAAATTTTAACACTGAAAATAAATCATTCGACTGGAACCAATGACTCTTTACTTATTATAATAATAATTAGTTAATTAATATAAAGTTTTACATTATAGATAGTTAATTAATTACTCGTAGGAGGTACAGGAAATGATGGAAGAAATAACACAACTCTTATAGGAAAAACTTCTAGACCATAAAGGCCTCTGTTATTCTTTGCTCTTTATTTGCTCAACATATGTATACTACATATTAGAAATTTGCATGTGATTAAATGCATATGTATTTTCTTATTTGATTAAATTTCCCTTAATTGGATAATCAAAATAAATTTAATACTCAAACCCATCTTTCTTAAGGTGAGAAATATATTTAAATTTTGGATTAAAGAAATATTACAATTTTGAGATAAATTTAATTTTAATTTATAATTTAGTATTCAACTTAAAATTATGATTAGGTAAAGATTAATTAATTTTAATCGTCATATGTTTAAGAATAAGTTACTATTTATTTAGATTAAAAATTTGTACTATATGATGTCTAATTGAAGATTCTAACAAAATCGAAACGCTAAGTTGAAGTTTTTACTAATATATTGTAATTAAACTTATATTAACATGAAAAAATTCATTTTTATTAACCGTTTGTTAAAAATTTAAATAAAATTGTAGTCGGTAATTACGACATGATAAGGTTATATAAAGTTAATACATTGTAAAGATAATTACTAATTAGTCAGAGAAGGAAGAAACGACGACATCACTTTGCAGAAAAAACTTCAACACCATAAAAGGCTTCTCTTATTATTTTCTCTTTATTTGCTCAAACATATATATACACACATAATATATATATATATATATATGTAAAGCTAACAAACTCTTATTATAGCCAAAAAAGAAAAAGAAAGAAAAACAAAAGAGCAAACTCACGATTCCTCACGTTTTATTAAAATTTACATGAGATACATGCATATGTTATTAATTAATTACTCATCAGCTCTCCCCTGGCCCTGGCCCTGACCCTGAGGAGCGACTGCAGTCAAGATGCCATCTTGCCTATTGTGTTTGACCTGCCACGCCTCGTCCCTCGACAAACCGAACCCATGGCTCACAACATCTACGGGCAACCCAACTATAGACGACAACCGCCCAGACAAGGTGCTAATCACGGCGTTATCGTTTGTCTTGAAATTAATAAACTCAACTCCCTGATCTGACGAAGTCCGTTTCACTACGGCGAAACCTTGCGGCACCGTCAACAGATGACCCTGCCGGACCTCACCCCTGAACACGTTCTGGCCCCTGCTGTTCACTACTTCCACCCACGCTTGTCCCCCAGTCACATACATCAATGAGTGTGCATTCAAGTTCCAGTGCGGTAACACCATCGCGTTCTGCATACATTTGCATACACCGTCAGACATGTTTCCAAATTTTACAAATAACAAAAGTAAATGGTTTTTTTTCAAAATACCCTTTGGAGGAAAACTCTGGGTGGCGCTGA